TAGCTTAAACTTTTGGTACATCGTTGACTGAAAGTGCCATAAAGGTAATATTAAATATTTTCTCAAAATTTCTCAAAAAAACGATTTCATAGTAAAAAAAAAAGAAATTTGTTGGAGATGTATCACATAAACATTTTGTTTTCAGATTGAGTAAGATTATTAAAACTTTATCGTTATATGTATCGCCCTTGGTGCGAACGGGCCTTTTACATAATCTATTAATAATAGCAACAAAAAAAGGGCTTTATTTAAAGACAATGGTTTTGAGCTGGATCTACATTTCTTATTTGGCCAGCAAGTTCTTTTGTTTTTATTTTGTTCTAATTTTCTCTCGTGTCATTTCTTGATATTAATTTTACATTACCTTATTTAATATAATAAACACTTTACATTGTTTCCCAAGATGGTGGTATTGGAAACAATAAATCTTGATATGTTTTTGTATGTGTGGTAAGCCTCTGTCTATGTCTGTGACTCTTTTCTAAACCCTACCGATTAACAATAAAGTGTTATCAATTGTCTCTAATATTTAATTATCACCAACCTACATATAAGGCTCACATGCCAGTGTTTTAAAATGTTAATCATTTAAAAATTTAATATTTCACAAAAGTACCGATGGAGTGTTAAACAATAGCAAACATTATTATCCCTTATATTATCATTTACAAAATACAGCCTAATTCAAAGGTGGCATAAAAACATTAAATGTTGCTTGCATTTTTTTATTTTAATATAATTTATTGCAATTTGTACATTGTACATGAAGATTGTAAATTAAGATACAAAATTTGCTAGAATGCTAGTAAAAGCAGCAGTAATGAGCATAATATTGTATTGGAGAATTTAATGAAATTGTAGCTACAGCTAAAGACAACTGTACATTCCTCGTGCAGTTTTAAGTATAGACGTTAGATGACGCCAGAGGATGGCATGGAAGATGTTAACCAAGAGTACCTGCCCTGAGTGCCCTCTAAAGAAAAACTGATGAAGGTCAGGATTTAACTGTGACAATTATGTAGAAAATTAGAAATGAATACTTCCTTATGGTAGTGAGCTGTATAAGAACAGTCACAACATTGCAAACAACGATTGGTTATGAGCTACTCATTAGTGATTCTATAACACACGTGACACTCTTACAGTTTAACCTGAGTCTTCATGGCTTCTGGTAAAATATACTGCATTAATTGCTTGGAAGTGCATAAAAGCATAGATCTTTATCTTGAGGTACATATTTCAACACTGTATTTCACCGATGTCCTGTTAAAAAGTATGAATTCCTTGAAATCCACCAGTAAACATTAAAGTATAAATGTAAAACATAAATTGTAACATAGTAACGTTTAATACAGGCTTAACTGAATTTCAGGGGTGTGTCCACCTCGAGACCGGCGCATCATAAAGAGGAAGATGCGACAAAGAAGCCCTAAGACAGTTGAGCAACTAGAAGCCTGTATTAGACCAGAATGGGACAACATTCCTATTCCTAAACTTGAGCAACTTGTCTCCTCAGTCCCCAGACGTTTGCAGACTGTTATAAAAAGAAGAGGGGATGCCACACAGTGGTAAACATGGCCTTGTCCCAACTTTTTTGAGATGTGTTGATGCCATGCAATTTAAAATCAACTTCTTTTTCCCTTAAAATTATAAATGTTCTCAGTTTAAACATTTGATGTCATCTATGTTGTATTCTGAATAAAATATTGAAATTTGAAACTTCCACATCATTGCATTCTGTTTTTATTCACAATTTGTACAGTGTCCCAACTTTTTTGGAATCGGGTTTGTAGATCTAAATGTGTGTAAATATATAGGCTATACATAAAATCATTCATAATACATCCTTGATTTACCATATTAAAAATACATAGGCCAAGCTTTTACCACATCATGGACTATAGAATGGCTGGCACTCTGCATTTCTAGACCATTATATGTATATATACTAAATACAAAGTTAAAGATATATATTTTTTTTAAGTTAAACAATCTGTGGTTAAGGGGGGGACTTTTTCGTCAGCTTCTGCACTGCTCTTCTGCGCGAATGAATCTGATGGATTGTGTTATATTTATGATATTAGAGCAGATCTTTCATTCAACAAGACCAAATAACAGTAATAAGAAAATCTTACATAGAGTATACGAAAATAATGTGCGTAAGCAGCGTTTTTGCTGATAAAGTAACCGGGCCTTATTCTTTATTTACGGACATGACGAAAACACACGAGGGCGAGTGACATCAACACGAAATTTCACATCAAATCCGACCCGGCAGCTCAAATATAAGTCGGTTTTCCGTAGTGCCAAGACAGAGAACACAGTTTTAGCACTTGTTTTTTATGTACTAATACCTTGTTTGTTCATTAAGAGTAATCTTATTTCATGTGTGTCTTTGTATAGATAACACTGTATATGAACTTTGGCCATGGTTAATAAAAAGACACTTGTGACATCAAATGGTGTTATAATAATGATGGTTTTAAGTATTAAGCAAATATTTGTAGTTAAATAAGAATAATATATTAAAGTTGAATGCTTATATACAGTACCACCCCAATCATACAATGCCTAAATTGTGAGTACAGTGACTAAATGTAATGTCTTTATTGTGCGGTATGGTTCTCCAGAGCATCAAGAACCGCAGGAGAGGGATCTTTCACCCTGCAGAACACAGTTAGCCTCAGGTCAGATGTGTTTGCACATTTTACATGATTTTCCACAGAAGTGCAAGTACCAGACTCCTGGCCCATTTCCTGGAAGATTGTGTGGTTGATTGGAGGTGGAATTAGGCAATAGTTAAGCTGAAATGTCCTCTATGCAGGGCAGAGTCAGGTTCAGCTGCATCCAGCATGCTGCGCTCATATGCTATTTAAAGCCCAGCGAAAGCTGTGGCCTTACGGCCTAATCTTCTCTTCACAAAGATGCATTAATCTATGGCTTCAATCTATGGGAGTGCTTGTATGCATTGTGTAACCTGTCTGTCAGATTACTGTGGTTATTTATTGGTTTAGACATATGAGCACATGTCCTCCTAAAACCTATTCATGCCAGATCAGAACAAAACTGGCTCTCTTTAGAGCTGTGCACTTCGTCATTCTGTGGAAACGGTTCGTTTTAGATATTGGGCTATTGTACACTACGGAGCCCAGTTATTAGAAATGATAACTGTAACTCACTGTTGTAGACAACAACTGTAACTCACTCAGGCTGTTGTAGATTGGTAATCATATGTGATGAAATTCTATTTTAGTACTCAAATGGTAGCTTGTAAGCCTCCAAAAAAAGAGAATGATAACTCTATCTAGTGTTTAGTCCAACTAGACATTTATCCTGTTAGATAGCTTTGTGTTTTAACGTTTACTCACATTACAAAATGGTAACATCTAAATTAAATAGTTTTATTCGAGACTAATATGACTGAATTGGTTTTATTCAAGACAAACATGACTAAATCATTCTATGTATTTACACCACCTTAAGTCACTTTACGGGCCAGATCTGGCGAGATAGCTAACAACTGCATGTCTTCACTTCTTAGTGTCGAAAGCAAAATCCCAGATTCTTTTTTGAGCTATAAAATTATGGGAAGGTTAAGATGGTCTATCCCCAAATCTGCACAAGCCATAAATAATTAGAAGTTACAGTAGATAAGGAAGTGAGGTGAGAAGAGTTAAAGGGATAGTTCTCCTTCAGTTGCTGGTTAATGGGGACCAGCAACTGAAGGTGAACTATCCCTTTAAGCTCCTCTGTTGCTTTGGTAACATAGTCCAGTTGTCACACTGATTAGACCTCCAGCTCAATGACACTATTATACTCTGGAAAAGAGAGCATGTGATGTGTGCCATCCAAAACCACAGCATCTGTCATTGCCCTTAACCTTTCCGATTAATCACAACCTAATCACCGATTAGTGAACCTGTAGTCGTAATGACCGAGAGTGTTTGCTTAAATGATAAGTTCTGCTAGATAAAATGTCTTTCACACAATGACTGTATGGGAATATGTTTTTCAGTTTGCTTTAATCATAGACATTATTATTATAATTAATATTATTATTATTATTAATTGTATAATTCATTTATAATAAAGGAAAGAATAAAATGATTTCACATTTATATAATAGTTCACCCAAAAATGAAAGTTCTCTCATCATTTACTCTCCCCCATGTCGTTCCAAACATGTGTGACTTATTATTATTATTATTCATCAATTTTTTTTACCAAAATTGTTTGGTTACCAACATTATATATATATATATATATATATATATATTAGCAGAAAAAGAAAGGTTTGGAACAACATGATAACAGAATTATCATTTTTGGTTGAACTATCTCTCTTTAATGATAACATTAATCATTATATATAATTAGACTCAAGACATTCTCAACATGAGTTATGAATATAACATAAATATAATAACCATATTAGAATAATATATTACCTTATTTATTAGCCTACTTATATTATCACTTCAAAAGTAACATATACAAATATATAAATAAAAATATATATAATAGGCTATATTACATATTGTAATATTATATAATGTTCTGCGCTATCTGTCACGCCCACTGAAGGCTCGTCAGTAGATCACACGTCCGGAGCAGGTTATCTTCAGAGAGCAAGTTACTGTGGTTACTTACCCTGAAAGAAGTAACCGGTTTTTGGAACCGAAAGCTGAGGTTATCCGCTCGCTTATCCTCAAACATACCCGGGTATGTCACATAACCTGCTTTTTGGAATACCCCCCAGGTGTGTGATCAGGTTGCAGCAAGGTGACTGACAGCCAGCTACTGGATTGGCTGAGGAAAGCATCTGTTATGTTAATCCTACTTAAATGAATTAGGCTGAATAAATAAAATGAATATTCATGCCATTTAGTCATACTAAAATGTGATATTTTGTTCTTTTTCTCAATGTTATGTTTGTTTTGATCCAAAATTGTAAGGCACATCAGAATTTTAAAAGGCAAATATATAAAAAAACTATTTCTCGCTCTTGTCATATGTTGTGTTTCAGTGATTATTATGAGGAAGCCATTAGAGACTCTGGACCCTGCGAGGAATCGGGGAGTACATTATTCCTGTCAGGTTTAAGTAGAGTTGGCCTGTAACCATGCCCGGCGCGTCATAGATTTCAGACCACCAGGCCCCGAGCTGCCCATCAAACATGGATCCCACATTCCCCAGCATCAAATTGGGGTCAGATTGCACCCCTCTGGAGCGGAAGAGCAAGCGTCACCGATTGCAGCATGTCAGGAGGAAACTACGTCCTTCACGGATTTTTGGTTTTATCCTGAGCATCTCTGCCCTCACATTGTTCCTGTCTTGGAGTGCCTTTACCTTCACTTTGGGCCCATTCCCAAGATGGACGCCACTCACTTCTCTCACCAATCATGAGGGACTTGCAGAACCAGTGCCACACAGAACTGTCCTATCTTCTCACGAAGAGCGCAATGTTTCGGCAGATATGCCCATCGCTATGGCCTCGTCCGGTGAGCACAGCAAGGGAGATTATCCCGAGGATCTGTTCACACTGGAGGAGAGGAGGCAAGGTGCAGTTGTGCTGCATATGTTGGGCATGATGTACATGTTCATTGCCCTCGCTATCGTCTGCGACGAGTTTTTTGTCCCCGCCCTCACCGTGATCACAGAAAAACTGGAGATCTCGGATGACGTAGCGGGCGCCACCTTCATGGCCGCTGGAGGCTCTGCTCCTGAGCTCTTCACCTCTGTGATCGGTGTGTTCATCTCACACAGCAATGTGGGCATCGGGACCATCGTGGGTTCTGCTGTCTTCAACATCTTGTTCGTGATCGGGATGTGTGCTGTCTTTTCACGTGAGATTCTCAACCTCACCTGGTGGCCTCTGTTTAGAGATGTCACCTTTTATATCATTGGACTAATTATGCTTATCGTTTTCTTCCTGGATAACTACATTACTTATGTTGAGAGCATTGGACTGTTACTCTGTTATGCTAGCTATGTCACTTTTATGAAGTACAATGTGACTGTAGAGACTTTAATCAAGACTAAATTACTCAGGAATCAAGTGGACGACATTGAAGCTCCTCCTAAGGTGAGTCACATTATTCCAGGCGAACTATCTGCTTCCCATGTCAAAGGTGGCATTCTCCTTCACGCCTCCTACCATTCCTGTTAGGAATCAGTATATCACAGTGGTTTCCACCAGGAGGCCCTCCGCATATTTCCAAGAGTGCTGCAGGCAGGATGACTTTTATAAAAGAATGAATATAATACATACATTAATATAATAGATTTATTGTTATTAATAGAAGTAGTAGTCATTTTACTATTAAATAATATTTAATATTAATATATATTTTGATCTATCTAGCTTAATTTCAAATGCTAAAGACACAAACAATTAATATGTAGAGTGAAATCAACACGACCCTCCCAGTTTCTGTTAATAATATTTTATAATATAGATAGATAGATAGATAGATTTTAGTAGTATTTACTAGTATTTAACAACAACTTAGCTCTAAAATATTCCATTGGGCAAAAAGTATAGCACCACTGTTAAATATGCACTTGTACAGAGACCCTAAAGGGTCATGGTGATGGTGATGGTAAAAAATAGGAGATTGGAGGAAAAATTATATTTCAGTTCTTTGGCAGTCTGCCACAAAACTTTTGCGTTCATCAAAAAAAAAAAAATTCTGCATTCCTCACCAAAGTAAATAAAAATAATATGAGAAACCAAATTTCAGTGCTTTTTGAGACAATGCAAAGATTCCCATGGGAATGCTATACTTTCCTGAGAGAATGCTCTGAAAAACATTGTGCGTGGATAATGATATTCAGACATTTAAAAAAATCTTCAAAAATGTTCTAACAACTGTAATTCAGAAATGTATGCAGGATTGCATTTTTTCATTCACATTAAGTAAATACACTGAAAAGAGTGAAAATTAGGTGAATTTACATTTGCACTCATCCTCTGATGACTTAAAAAGACATGACGACGATTTCTGGTATGTGAACATAGTGAGCAGCTGATGCCCACTGGTTTTTATTGTGCATTTTGGGAATTTTTAGGAATCTTGAGCACTTATAACCGAACAAGGGAGCTGATTGCAACAGCAGTGGGCGCGGAACCCGAATGTTGGCTGAGAATCAGCGTTCCCTATGAAAAGAACACAGACTGTTTTATCACCTCTCTGAGCTGGATTAGACATTATATCAGGTGTCACCTGGACAGAGCAAACAACACTGCTCTGAGTACACAATCAGCTGAGTAAGACTAGAACCCCTGCAGTACAGACAAACATGGACAGTAGAAGGAGACAGCAAAAGTAGTAAAAATGAGGCAAGGTGGAGTTATAAAGGAAGAAAGTTGTTAAAATCTTTTACTTACCATTTTGCTCAAATCTGTCTTATAGCAACCAGACATCTCAAGAGGGATAGATATCTTTTTTTGTCTTTTCCTGGCACAGTTAGCTTTTTGTTTTTAAAGGGAACCCTGGGTATTAAGACTTGTATGGCTTAAAGGATTAGTTCACTTCCAGAATAAAAATTTCCTGATAATGTACTCACCCCTATGTCATCCAAGATGCTCATGTCTTCAGTCGCAAAGAACTTAAGGTTTTTGAGGAAAACATTCCAGGATTTTACTCCATATAATGGACTTAAATGGTGGCCAACAGGTTGAAGGTCCAAATTGCAGTTTTATTGCAGCTTCAAAGGACTCTACACAATCCCAACCAAGGAATAAGGGTTTTGTCTAGATAAACAATCAGTCATTTAAAAAAAAAAAAAGCATATACTGTTTAACCACAAATGCTCATCTTACACTAGCTCCGTGATGTGTGTCATGCATGACGTAATCACGTTGGAAAGGTAACGCATGGTTAGCTCTTCGTCTGTGTACTCCGGTTCAAAAAGCTAGGGTAGGGTGAAAAACTTCATCTCATTTTCTCCTCCAACTTCAAAATCGTCCGGCATAGTTGTTTCACCTTTTTTTAAAAGGGCTTTTGACTTCCTTTGCACGTTCACTTTGTAAACACTGGGTCAGTACTTTCGCCTATGTCACGCGTGACCTTTCCAATGTGACTACGTAATGCGTGAAGTCCAGCTAGTGCAAGATGAGTATTTGTGGTTAAAAAGTATATACATTTTTATTTTTTTTAGAAAATGACAGATCGTTTCGCCAGATCGTTTCGGATCGTGTAGAGCCTACAATTTGGACCTTCAGCCCATTGGCCACCTTTGAAGTCTATTATAGTCCAAAATATGTATAAAACAATGTGTATTTTAGTGTATTTTGTGTATAGCATAAATGTTTCATGGGTTTTCTACTACATATTTCAGTAAGAGACATCATTTACGTTATATTAAGCCATACAAGTCTCATTTTAAAATGTCCATTTGTGAATCTTAACCAGTATTTTGTCTTGTTTGCCAGTTAAAACATTTAAACATCTTTCGAACCAAATAAATTTAGTTTAGAAGCAAAATCGCATAAATATATCTTTTAAATGAGAATTTGAGGTTTTAAGCATAAACTTTATAAAATGTTGTTACATTTACATTTAAAAAAAATAAATGTGACCCTGCACCACAAAACGAGTCTTAAGTCGCTGGGGTATATTTGTAGCAATAGCCAAAAGTACATTGTATGGGTCAAAATGATACATTTTTATTTTATTTCAAAAATCATTGGGATATTAAGTAACGTTCATGTTCCATGGAGATATTGTGTATGTTTCCTACCATAAATATATAAAAACTGAATTTTTGATTAGTAATATGAATTACGGTCACAAATTTGTTTTGTAAGAACAGTAAACTAAGATTCAAGATATATTAATTGCAGTTTTGCGGTCTTGTTGTAGAGACGTTTATGTATTTTTACTGAGAAAAAAATACTTAATAATAATAATAAATACACTTTCTGGTTGTCAGACATTAATAGAATGACCTTGGCTCCAGTTGGTTAAAAGCCAAATAAAAAACAAAATAAAATTATTTGCATAATTTATTTGCAGAAGCAACTAATGCAGTGAAATTCAGATATTTTAAAGCATGACTTCACTGCCCAAATGTGTCTCAATTGTTCTCGGACCCATTGCTGGAGGTGATATGCATAATGTATGACTGTAGCCATGCACTGTTGAATTAACATGAATCTGGATATCAGTTTAGTGGTTTGATGTATTGTTGATAGTTTAAGAGGCCCATATGAAGCCAGTTAAACCTGTTCAACCTGCTGTGTTTCATTCAAACAGCTGGAGTCGGATTTGTTTTTTGCAGATGCAGTTTGTCCCACATATGGAACACAGGTGAATCAGCTGACCGTGCTGTTTTGTTAGGCTTCTTAGTGATGCACCAGGGGCATGTACATTACTTTTGAGAACCATTAGTAGCATGTTATCTATATAAACCCACATTGATTAGTCTTAGATTGCTCTTTGCTGGTAGACTGCTTTTTTGGATTGTCACCTCAGTACATCAGAAATATGATTCCAGAAAGCTTGTAAAAATGTAAAATATTTCATTAATGTCCCACGATTCATTCAGAATTGATTTAACACAACTATATAGAGCACGTTACATTGGATTTTCACCCTTCTAGATTGGAATGAAAAATTCTTGGTATAGAGAGACTTCTAAAATTAAAATGAATAATAGTAGAGACAGGGGTTGGTGTTGGGCGGTTGGTACGTGTGCTCTTTGCTCCTTTAGCCGAAGCTCGGGCTAATCCAATAAGATGTGATCCTTTTAGTGCTGCTAAGTATAGACAGGTGTCCTGTTCTTTTTAAAACTGTACTCAAATATAGAGTATTGTGGGAAATTCTTAAGGTTTTTGAATCACATTGTCAGATTCATTTTCGCAGTAAGAACTTTGTGTCATTTCGTGTTTAATGTAGAGTTCAGAAACATGGTGGATATCTTTATTTCTGCTTACAGTTTATGAATCCTAACCTGAAATCCTTTGTAATCCTAAATCAACTGCTTAGAAGGGGTGACGCCAACCAAAGTAAAAAGACTCTTAGTGCTTAGGGAAGTGACCTCCCTTTAGTGCCTTGTGAAGAAGACGTTTGAGGGAATATTGAACATTACAACAACAATTTTCATTTTACATTGGTCCAGCAATAGACACTTTTTTAAATTATAAATTACTCAGTGAAATAGAAAATTGACAGCAAATTTGGATATGACTTTTAAGTGATAAAGCAGCTGTTCATCTGTAATATAATGAAACAAACACTGAAGTTAATACTTAACTTTATATTGTACATAATTCCTTTTGTTGAACAAAACAGCTTTTCTATGGTGGTCTTTATCCCATACTAGTGTACATAATTTACTTTTGGTGTTGAACTAAATAATTAAAAGTAAATAATACATATGAATTTTATGCTTTTAATATTATAAACTAGGTTTTTACATTTTCTGAAGAAATTACCTTAAGAGGTACTTGGAAGATGAGTTACATTCTAAAGTTTACTTAAAGATCTTTTCTTCTGTATTGTGATGCATATCCAAGTGAAATGGATTATCAAAAAAGTTAAAAAAATCCCACCTATTAAAAGTAATTGAATTAAGAAACTTAGTAGACTTTCTAGTTAGTAATATGTAGATCTTTGCTGGCATAATTCCTTTGAATTATGAAAAAAATAATACATATGAATTTTATGCTTTTAATATTATAAACTAGGTTTTTACATTTTCTGAAGAAATTACCTTAAGAGGTACTTGGAAGATGAGTTACATTCTAAAGTTTACTTAAAGATCTTTTCTTCTGTATTGTGATGCATATCCAAGTGAAATGGATTATCAAAAAAGAAAAAAAATCCCACCTATTAAAAGTAATTGAATTAAGAAACTTAGTAGACTTTCTAGTTAGTAATATGTAAATATTTGCTGGCATAATTCCTTTGAATTATGAAACGCAAAGAGGGGAGAGTGTGAGAGCCTGGTGTCATGCGTTAATGAGTTAATTTGTGAATCCTTAAATGCCTCTGTCTCTAAAATTGGTTACCTGTCACCTTAAGCCTCTTTAGTGTACTTGCCTGCGTTCTCTGGTTAACTAAAGAACCCTTGCTAGGAGACACTGTAGAGGCAATTCAAGTTCTCAGATGACCCATATGATTAAACCTGGAATGAAGTACACAGGAGTTATGACTTTTATTTTAAACTCTGTCTGTCTGTGTTTTGCACAGATGGTGTTCAAATACATTTGGTGCAGAATTGAGCTTGATGTTCAATTGGATATTTTGCTGGATTCATTTAAAAGAAAGAGGATTCAGCATCATCAGTCTCTCTGTTACATCATGCTGAATTATCTTCATTAGTTAAGGCATCGAGCCAGGAGACTAACAGGAACATTGTTCCGTCTTAGATGCTTTTGTGATGTACACGCACTCTATTTATCTAATGTTATACTGATTGATATACCATAGACTGATTGAGTTTGCTGCTACTGGAAAAGTTTAGTATGTTTTGTATATTAATTAATTTGCTATAAAAATGAATTGGTAATTTCACAGTGTGTAAGTTCCTGTATATCCATTTTCTTTACATTCTATAGATAGATAGCACTGTAATGGTGTCATTGTGTGGATCCAGCATGCTCATTGGTCCAACTAATTGCTAAACTATTACTCTGCAAAGTTCATTAGCTGCTCTCTAGTAAGACTGCCCTTGATCCCCGTGACTTACTTTTCAACATCTCTCTCTCTTGTTTAAGGGTACAAATCAAATGAGATGACAAAGTTATATAAGATTTGGTAAATATGCTCTGGCTTTGCACTGCTGGAAACGATTCTGTAGTTTCCATCCTCCCCCCACAATCAATTTTTAGTCATGCATAAAGTTTTGAATTTAAGGTTTCACAAGGTCAGTTGTTTATTTTCTAACATTTTCACGTGATGTTGATAGGTTCGATTTTAAGATACTGAGTAGTGTGTGCATGCCTGGTAAAACATCTATAAGAATTGTTTTGTTTTTTTGTGTGATTTTTTTTTATGCAACACGTATGGTAGCTCTCCAGAGTACAATTAAAGACCAAAACAAGGTCGGTCCTAATCCCGCACCCAATCTTTTTCTGGGTCTTTTGGCTTGAGTTTACGATCTTGGTTAGTGCTATAAGATCTCTTCTGATAACTCAAATGATCAATTCCAGGTTCAAATCACCAGTGTGCTCTTGAGGATGCTATTCTGTATGTTACATATACTGTATACAGCTAACATTCCATTATATTATGGTAGATGTTTTACTAGTTACCAAATCTTTTCTGGAGGGCTCTTAAAAGCATAAAATGGACTTATATGTCTACTACCTTTTGCATCTCAGCTAGTTGCTAGCCAAGTGGTTTGGTGCCATAAGCTCATCAGTATTGTAATTTTCCTGCAATTTTCCACACAAATTTGTGGCTCAGGTGATTGATCCAAAAAGGTGTGGGAAAAGATGGATGAACGGGCCAGTCCCTGCAATACATGTGCTACGCTGTCAAAAAAATGCAGTAAAAATGGCATTGCATAGTTTCAAACCATTATTCACCTCAGTTCTTTTATCTTGTTTAAAACTGTTTGCTTTAAACACTAGTAATTTAACTGATCTTGATTCCGATTTTAGCTTTGAGAGTCTGGTTTTAAGGTCTTGGGTCTAGTCTCATGGAGTCAGATTTTTGACCGTTTGGTGCTTAATGTTTAAAGGATGTTCACATTATTTTCATTTAATGAGTTCTATAACATGACAATATATTTGCATTTGCACTAAAACGCCAATGATGGTGGTAAAATTTAACAATAAGAAATGATTTTTTAAAAACTGTAAGACAATAGTGAAGTCCACACCACAACTATAGCAGTAGCAACACAGAGAAATTATATTGTTGGAATAAAATTTTGAGCATTTTTTTTTCAGCTGATGACTGATAAAATCATCGACAGGCAATCAGAGTCCATCCGACTTTAATTGGATGGTAATTGGAAGGTGGGTTAGAATAAGGTTATCATCCATTTGTCTGGATGCTAATGCAGTATAGTTTTCATTCTTAGTGCAAACGGCCTTAACTCAGAAGTTTAAGATTGTTGGCCTAACAGCAGAACGTCTGCTAATGTCAGACAGCTTCAGCGAGCTGGTCTCCGGTTGACTGACCTCTGCTTTAAAGATAGCTGAGCACACAGAGCTCAGCTGTAGGCTATTTTCACAGGCATCGGTGGCCATAGGCCAGAGCTTATCTTTCACCTGCAGAAAGACCAAAGCTGGGAAGGGACGTGAACGGGGAGCAAATGGCACGAGTTTTGTCATGAGGACATTGCTGGTGCTGTCATCTCACTGGGCAAGCGCTTATTGAGAAAGAGCTTATTTGAACCATTTGGAGTGCAGATCTACAAACAATTTAAATGTATTTAAAATGTTTTAAACAATATTTTACCCTCGCCTATGTACCTGAGGACTATGTTCCACAAAATAAATTATTTATATTATTTATAGTGTATATTAAATATAAATATTTAAAATATATTTAACAATATTACATTCTCTCAGGACTATGAAGTAATTTTGTTTTGCTCTAAAACTGTATATTAATTGTAAAAATTAATGATGGATTCAAATCATAACAGTTTCACCTTTCCTCATAAGTTTTAGTTTAGAATGATATGGTTAATTTACCGGTTATTTATTGAATATGGAATACAGTAAATGCAATACAGTAGTGTTTTGTTTAAGATATTGCATACAGCAAGATGCAAGATATTATGCAATGCTTGAAGCCATATTTGAATGAGATTTTAAGGGCAGATTTTGTAAGGAGTGATTTTCATCTTTTACTTTCAGTGGTTTCTTAGAAACTGTTATTGATGTTATTTGGAAGGTGGGTCAAAATTCTATGATTGGCTTTTCTATACAGTACTTAAGAAGTGCTATTTATGGCCATGTAAAAGCAGCAGACCAGAACTACTGTAGGCCTTAGCTGTGCTGTGTAACAGCTTAACATGTTCTTGGTTACCTGCATGTTGGGGACAGATTGAGCTGATCTTTTTTAAAGCTGGCCTTGAACGTCACCATCTCTTTGTTAAACTTTTTTTTTCCAAGTAATGAGGCAATCCCTTTTTATAAAAATGGTTTTCTTTTTTTTAAAGAATATGATTAGATTTATTTAAAATAAAAAATATATATGGTGCTTATATGACTAATGGTTTTATAATTTCCTCTACTTTTTGAGCTCCTTTGAAAATGCTTTTTAGAAGTTGTGTTTTAAGGTGTGGGGTGGTTTTAAGAATACCCCAAACTTTTTTTCAGTAATGTAAAAAGAAATTGGTTTTGATTTTACTTTTCATAGAATTCATAGAATTTTGCTTCTCTCTGTTTTTCTCAAGGTTGTCAGTGCAGCAGATGATGAAAATAAACTTTCGGTAAGCATGATCAGGAACCTTCAGCGCTCTCTTATCAGCATAATACACATAATGATATATCAGAATGCATTTCTTCTTTTATTCCCTATAGGCTAAACCCCGCCTCCAGAGAGGAGGAAGCTCCGCCTCCCTCCACAACACCCTCATGAGAAACAGCATCTTCCAGCTAATGATTCACACACTCGATCCTCTCAGTGAAGGTAATGTGCAAATACAAACACTCCAAATTTACAAATACACTCACATTGACTTGCATCATAGATACAGTGGGGCAAAAAAGTATTTAGTCAGCCACCAATTGGGCAAGTTCTCCCACTTAAAAAGATGAGAGAGGCCTGTAATTTTCATCATAGGTATACCTCAACTATGAGAGACAAAATGAGAAAAAAAAATCCAGAAAATCACATTGTAGGATTTTTAAAGAATTAATTGGTAAATTCCTCGGTAAAATAAGTATTTGGTCACCTACAAACAAGCAAGATTTCTGGCTCTCACAGACCTGTAACTTCTTCTTTAAGAGGCTCCTCTGTCCTCCACTCGTTACCTGTATTAATGGCATCTGTTTGAATATTTTCCACCATAATTTGCAAATAAATTCTTTAAAAATCCTACAATGTGATTTTCTATATCTTTTTTCTCATTTTGTCTCTCATAGTTGAGGTATTCCTATGATGAAAATTACAGGCCTCTCTCATCTTTTTAAGTGGGAGAACTTGCACAATTGGTGGCTGACTAAATACTTTTTTTCCCCACTGTATGTTAAGTCTTATTAATAAAATATGTCATATATTCCAGGGAGGTTCAAGGAGAAGGCATCAATTCTGCACAAGATCGCAAGAAATAAGGAACAAGATGAGGCAAATGGTGTTGGTAAGTTTTCCTCTCAGTGAAGGTAATGTGCAAATACAAACACTCCAAATTTACAAATACACTCACATTGACTTGCATCATAGATATGTTAAGTCTTATTAATAAAATATGTCATATATTCCAGGGAGGTTCAAGGAGAAGGCATCAATTCTGCACAAGATCGCAAGAAATAAGGAACAAGATGAGGCAAATGGTGTTGGTAAGTTTAAATTTTTTGTGTAACAGCATTCCTTACCAATTTGACTTCTGTAATGTGACATATTATTGAGTAAAATGAGGATAATCACTGTAGGATTGGACTTTTATCCACTGAAAAGTGGCCTTTCCATTCCAACACTGTTTGCAAAAGTAGGCCTATATGAAAAGTAAAGAGATTTGGTGACGACAGCTGGAAAGGAATGGATTTTCTGATGAGGACCCTCTAGAAAAAGTTTTGTCTTTGGAGAAAAGTCGTCCACTGTAACATCAGCAACATTTTTATTTTGATTTCCTGTTAACTATCATTTCTACAGCCACGTATACACTTACTGTTTACTTTTATCATAAGCATTTAAAATCTGATGAAAGTGCTGTGGTTCCTGAGGATTTCAGTGCTTAAATCACATCACTACATATGTTTGTAGCTGGAAAGGAATGGATTTTCTGATGAGGACCCTCTAGAAAAAGTTTTGTCTTTGGAGAAAAGTCGTCCACTGTAACATCAGCAACATTTTTATTTTGATTTCCTGTTAACTTTGATTAACTGTACACTTACTGTTTACTTTTATCATAAGCATTTAAAATCTGATGAAAGTGCTGTGGTTCCTGAGGATTTCAGTGCTTAAATCACATCACTACATATGTTTGTTTTTTTCAGTCGTCAAGAATCTTCCCAACAGTACTAATGTGGAGGTAGAAGTCACTCCGCCCATGAATGGCAGTGCTGGAGCTGAGGTGATGTCGCAACACAACTAGATCATCTATATTGGAATCCTTAAGATTCTAATATTAAAATATCACAGGCAGCTGACTGACATCGTGTTGTTGTGGTTCTAATCTCAAAGGCTGAGGAGGACGACGATGAAGACCAGCCTCTGAGCTTGGCGTGGCCAGACACACCAAGGAAGCGAGCAACATACCTTGTCATCTTTCCCATCGTCTTTCCATTGTGGCTGTCACTGCCGGATGTCCGCAGAGATGTACGATTGAGTCTTTTATGTTTTTTATTTTGTGACATATGTGACCCTGGACCACAAAACCAGTCATAAGGGTCAATTTCTCGAAATTGAGCTTTATACATCATCTGAAAGCTGTATAAATAAGCTTCCCATTGATGTATGGTTTGTTAGGATAGGACAATATTTGGCCGAGAGACAACTATTTGAAAATCTGGAATCTGAGGGTGCAAAAAAATCTAAATACTGAGAAAATCGCCTTTAAAGTTCTTAGCAATGCATATTACTAATCAAAAGTTTTGATATATTTACGGTAGGACATTTACAAAATATCTTCATGGAACATGATCTTTACTTAATATCCTAATGATTTTTGGCATAAAAGAAACATTTATAATTTTGACCCATACAATGTTTTTTTTGGCTGTTGCTACAAATATACCCCAGCGACTTAAGACTGGTTTTGTGGTCCAGGGTCACATATTTAATGCAGATCTTGCCATAGTCACTTTCTGTGTAATTGTCAAGTCATCTTTAATTATATAAAGCACTTTATACAATAGAAACTGTTTCAAAGTAGCTTCACGGTATTAAACTGGAAAGTAATGCAAACTTCATCAAATATTAGACAAATCAAAACTTTACTGTAAAGCAGCTCTAACAAGACAATAGTGAAATTATTCAGCTCAAGTTCAGTGTTGATTCAGTTCAATGACTGTGTAAAATTCATTATGAAACAAGTTCAATTCAGCGATTAGCCGCCCGTTATTCAGCTCAATGTTAATTCAGTTCAGTTCAATAACAGCGTCAATGTTGTACAATGAACAAATTTGAACAAAGTGTCTTGTAAAGCCCAGTTTCAGGCTGTTGAAACAAACAGACTGCTTGGTGCTGTGTTTTAAATATTTGAATAGCATGACATCCCTTCCTTATTTTTCCTTCTATCCTCTCTTGTTCCATAGACATCAAAAAAGTTCTTTCCGCTCACATTTTTGGGATCTATTAGTTGGATTGCGGTTTTCTCTTACCTGATGGTGTGGTGGGCTCATCAGGTACCTCATCTTCACCAATAGCACACACACCAGTTTCACACAGCTTTTCTGTTATATTGCAGTTTTTCACCAATGTTTTTATCTTACTGTTCTGCTCTGAAATTAGGTATACTGTAGTTGATGCTGTATGTCCAAAAACAAAAAAAAAAAACAAACAAAAAAGAGAAAAAGTTACTTTAAATCAAATAAACGTTCACTGAAATAAAATAAAATATTAAAAACGTAAACTTATTTTATTTCAGCTAGTTGCCAAAGCAACATTTTGTTTAACTTAATGTACTAACTAAAACTATTAAACTAAAATTGAAATAAAAAACAATAATTAAAAAATGACACAAAATTTACAACAAAAATACTACAATATTAAACTGAAAATGGAAAATACAGTAAAAACGAATTCAAAATATTTAAAAAACGGTAATAGTTCAGGGATACTAAAATGAAAATGATGCATATTTGTCTGTCATGTGTAAATGAAACAAGTTTAAAACAAATGCAATAGTACTAATATATTTTATAGTACTAAATAATTGTACCATAAAAATACAGAATAACCAGGTTTAGTTATTTATCAATAAATCCAATTTGTTTCAACCTCATATATTTTAACTAACCGAATATTGCTTGTTTCATAGCTATCCATATTTTAACCATGTCCATACTTTTTAATGGAATAAATGTAATTGTTTCCACAATGAACAGATTTATGCTGATTCTAATCTATTTGAAATCAAATACTGTAGATGCAATTATTTAATAGTCACGACTATGCCATGTTTGTTTGTTTTTTAGTGCAGAAATCTTACCCTTTTCTTTTAATTTATATATGACTTACAAATATGCATTACATTAATTTTATTAGTTTACGTTAAGTCTGTGTAATCCACATGGATGGAAATGTTATATGCAATTTCAATACATAAGTCTTAAATTTAAGCTCAATTATTTTTTGAGTGTAGAACTGCAAATAATCAGTATACAACTCGAAAGATTTGGAGCACTCGTTTTATTATTTAATATAAGTAAACACATTATTTATGTTATTTGTAAATGCAATATTTTATATGTTTATTCTCTGTTTGGTGTGAGTTGTTTGGCGAAATCCAGTGAATGAATGAACAGTGCAAGACATTCTCTTCTTGTAGAGGAAAACCAGTTATCACTCTCTGTTCACAATCAGTTACAACAGAAGCTGTCTTCTTCATCATCATCATCATCATCATCATCTGTCTAGACTATTGAGCTAATGTTCATGTTCATTTACAGACTGCCAGCTGGTGTCAATGTGAGTAGATCTGTATGGCACACTTTGCAGAACTCTTTAATGATCATTCATCCCTGCCTGTATCTCTCATTCCTGTCTTAAATAATTTTGGATGATGGGATGAAATTTGGAAGTGAAAGTGCTAAAGGAATAGAGCACCAAACAGTTGACCGTTATTCTTAGTTAAATACATATGTATCTATCCATTCATAATTTCTGTGTATTTACATGAGGGATGGACAAAATAAAATTATTTCTAAACTTACACTAAAGCAGTATTACTTGGAAGTATTTGTATTTATGAATTTCTTGGGGGGAATTATTCAGAATTTTCATTTTGAGCTTAAATGCCTATACTTTGTTTTGTGATGTGAAACATCCTTTTGAGAAATTTTACTAATACAATTTTATGTAATTGCCTACAAAATTGTTGAAGGGTGTGGCCAAATATGTGATGATATATTATTAATATTACATAGGAGGAGGACGAGGAAATATCAGTTACCATTAAGAATACAAAACAAGTTTTAGCTTGCAAAACCATTAAAACAATCATTTCTGATAATGTAACATTTTAACGTGGTACTAGGGACAATAAATTTTTTTGGTTCTAATAAGTGATCGTTGTTTTGTTTTGATCTCCCCCCTGCGCTTCCGCGTTCGTCACTTTTGAGCGGCGCATGCTCAAAGCCGAACTCATACGTCATCCGCCTGTAACTGCTTCCGTTTACAACAGTGAGCGCAAGCTACATTAAAGTTATTATAATGTTTTGAATATGGATATTTTTCTTACAAAAACGCATCGATTCGCTACAGGCGGCCTTTGTTCACCCCCCGGAGCCGTGTGAGACACTTTTTTTTTATGAATGGGCGCTTTTTATTTCACTTCTTTTGGACTGATGCACTGCAACACCCGCTGAGTGCCATTAAACAGCTTGAAAGATCAAAGACCATTTTTAATATAACTCCGACTGGATTCGTCTGAAAGAAGAAAGTCATATCCCCTTGGATGACTTGAGGGTGAGCAATTTATGGGCTAATTTTCATTTTTGGGTGAACTAACCCTTTAATGTTGTCTTTTTTCCCCAACAAAAATTTGTTTGTGAGATTAAACAATAAATATCACTGCAGAGATGACATTATTTTATAGTATATAATATTAAATAAAGATATATAGTTATTTTTATCTTATAAAATAAAGAAATGTGGGGTTATAAAGTAAGATTACAGCTGTTCAGTGCAAACAGGTGTGATTTAAAACAGTTAATGTTAACTCGAATGGAAAAGTGGTAACTAATATTTTGAGTGAGGATACAGAAGGTACTATTACAACAGAAACTTGCATTTTCTCAACATTTTGTCAGTCTAAACACTTTTTCGCTTTATTATTGGAGGTTAAAGGTGTGTAATTCGAGGTACCTGTCAGTAGATGGCTCAAAGGCTGTATAATCTCAAACACGGAAGCGGAAGTGTGAAAAGAATGGCGTTGCACTGAGCGGTTAGTTACACTTGTTTACATCAGACTTTATTTTCACTTATTGGTAAAAGCCACGTACTGGCTTAGAGTGAGACATATTAGTCCATCTCAAGGCTAAAGAAGAGGATTTTCCATCATAACGGGAGAAATGAAGAGCTCTGGAGTTTTGTTTCTGCACTTTTTGCTGTTGATTGTGCCTCACATCAGCTGCTGGAATGATGGTAAAAGATGAACAAACAATCATAATAAAATCAGAGAAGATGGATGGTTCAGTCCGAGTAAAATGAGTTCGCATTAGACATACTTTATACGGTATTTGCATTGAAGTTTCACTCTTAATGCGCAGCTTTGGTGGATGTTGTTACTCTGCTGAGACTCAGGAAGTTAACTTACTTTTGTTCGTTTCGATCTTAAAGTGCATACTCGTTTTTCATACCAAATGTTCTGTAGGTGTGTCCAATATTAACATAAATTTGTGTGATCATATTTGACTAATATTACTGTTATGTAATGCGAAATTAGTTTGGGTGGTGTGGCAAATATGATATAATATAAATATGTGATGATGAGTTATTCATATTTTATAAAAAGAAGAAGAAAGGAAAATGTAAAAGAATTATGTAAATTATTGTAATGTATGTACAGGGAGGACAGTTAGGACCTTTATGTAATACAAAATTAGTTTGGGAGGTGTGGCTAATATGATTGTCTGTCTGTCTATGGCTCAAAGGCTGTATAATCTCAAACACGGAAGCGGAAGTGTGAAAAGAATGGCGTTGCACTGAGCGGTTAGTTACACTTGTTTACATCAGACTTTATTTTCACTTATTGGTAAAAGCCACGTACTGGCTTAGAGTGAGACATATTAGTCCATCTCAAGGCTAAAGAAGAGGATTTTCCATCATAACGGGAGAAATGAAGAGCTCTGGAGTTTTGTTTCTGCACTTTTTGCTGTTGATTGTGCCTCACATCAGCTGCTGGAATGATGGTAAAAGATGAACAAACAATCATAATAAAATCAGAGAAGATGGATGGTTCAGTCCGAGTAAAATGAGTTCGCATTAGACATACTTTATACGGTATTTGCATTGAAGTTTCACTCTTAATGCGCAGCTTTGGTGGATGTTGTTACTCTGCTGAGACTCAGGAAGTTAACTTACTTTTGTTCGTTTCGATCTTAAAGTGCATACTCGTTTTTCATACCAAATGTTCTGTAGGTGTGTCCAATATTAACATAAATTTGTGTGATCATATTTGACTAATATTACTGTTATGTAATGCGAAATTAGTTTGGGTGGTGTGGCAAATATGATATAATATAAATATGTGATGATGAGTTATTCATATTTTATAAAAAGAAGAAGAAAGGAAAATGTAAAAGAATTATGTAAATTATTGTAATGTATGTACAGGGAGGACAGTTAGGACCTTTATGTAATACAAAATTAGTGTGGCTAATATGATTATCTGTCTATCTGTCTATCTGTCTCTCTGTCTCTCTCTCTCTCTCTCTCTCATATATATATATATATATATATATATATATATATATATAAAGATAGATATATATATATAATGTAATGAATAGTAATAATAATAATATGAAGAAAGGAACAAATATATAAATAATTGCTTGTAATATATTTATCTTTAAGAGGACAGTTTAGCACTACTTTTATGTTAAACAAAAGGATATGTAATATAAAGCAATAAAAATATATCAAATATACCATAAGTAATGCATATAATATTAATAAATATTAAATATAAATAAAATAAAAATGTAAGTATAATATAAATTAAATATTTTATAAAATCTTTGTATCTTAAAGAGGGCATATGGTGCTTTTGTGTGATACCAGATGTTTTGGGGGGATAGATAGATAGATAGAAATAATAATAAAATCTTTTCTTCCTGCAACAGAGGCTGTGTTACTGCGTGATGTCCAGGTTCTCACTCTCCAGAGAGGACGCTACACCACTGCACGTCGCTCCAGTCCTGTTCTACAGCTGCAGTGTGTTGGAGGATCAGCTGGCTGTGGATCATTTGTTCCTGAGGTGGTCCAGTGTTACAACAGAGGATCAGATGGCATAGACACACAGGTAAGGCACAAAAAATTGCCTCTTGCATATAATAAGCCTAGAAACTGTTCATAGTATTACTCTCTCCCTCTTTGTAGTGGGAATGCAAGGCTGACATGGACAACGTGTACAGGTTTGGGCGTGTGGAGGTCTCCTGTGAGGGTTATAACAGTCCCAATGACGCGTATGTGCTGAGAGGCTCATGCGGTCTGGAGTACACGCTGGAGCTCACAGCAGAAGGGAAGCAGCAGCACACGCACGGCACGTCTGGCTTCTCAGACTTTGCCTCAAACTTCTTCCAAGGCTTTTCTAATCAAAAGCAGCAGCAGCAGCAGAGAGGAGGCCACTATCAGCAGTCCAACAACCAGTATCCCTTCCAGAACGGACCGTCTGGTGACGGAGTGGGTGGGCTTATAGTGGTAGCTTTCCTTTTGCTGGTAGCATATGCTGTATACAAGATGTTTCTGTGCAGTCCTACTCACGGCCACCAAGGTTACCATGGAGATGGATCCCAGGGATACCCCGGGACCGGGGATAACAGTCATGGCATGGAGCCACCACCGCCTGGATTCAAACCAGATTATTACTCAGGTAATCAATCAATCAATGAATCTATATGTCTGTCTGTATAACATTCTACCATTCTGTCTATCTATCTATCTATCTTTATAACATTCTACCATTCTGTCTATCTATCTATCTATCTATCTATCTATCTATCTATCTATCTTTATAACAATCTACCATTCTGTCTGACTGTCTATCTATCTATCTTTATAACATTCTACCATTCTGTTTGACTGTCCATCTATCTATCTATCTATCTGTCTGTCTGTCTGTCTGTCTGGCTGTCTGTCTGTCTGTCTATCTGTCTGTCTATATGTCTGTCTATCTACCTATCTATCTATCTTTATAATATTCTACCATTCTGTTTGACTATCTATCTATCTATCTATCTATCTATCTATCTATCTATCTATCTAACATTATACCATTCTGTTTGACTGTCCATCTATCTATCTATCTTTATAACATTATACCATTCTGTTTGACTGTCCATCTATCTATCTATCTATCTATCTATCTATCTATCTATCTATCTATCTATCTATCTATCTATCTTTATAACATTATACCATTCTGTTTGACTGTCCATCTATCTGTCTATCTGTCTATCTGTCTGTCTGTCTGTCTGTCTGTCTGTCTATCTATCTTTATAACAATCTACCATTCTGTCTGACTGTCTATCTATTTATCTGTCTGTCTTTATAACATTCTACCATTCTGACTATCTGTCTGTCTATCTATCTTTATAACATTCTACCATTCTGTCTGACTATCTAAGTAAGTGTTAACATGTGCAATGTGAGAAGTTTCAGTTTGATTCCATTCTCCATTGTTATAGATTTAAAGGGATCGTTCCCCCAAAAATGAAAATTATATCATTTACTCACCCTCATGTCATTCCAAACCTGTATGGCTTTCTTTTTTTCTGTGGAACAAAAAAAGAAGTTATTTTGAAAGAATGTTGGTAAGCAAACAGTTTTTGAACGGCACGAGTCGGGTTAGTGATGACATTGAAAGTAGAAGAGTAATCAAATATCCATAATATTTGCATTCTGTCTGTCTATCTATCTATCTATCTATCTATCTATCTATCTATCTATCTATCTATCTATCTATCTATCTTTATAACATTCTACCATTCTGTCTGTCTGAAACAGTAAGTGTTAACATGTGCAATGTGAGAAGTTTCAGTTTGATTCCATTCTCCATTGTTATAGATTTAAAGGGATCGTTCCCCCAAAAATGAAAATTATATCATTTACTCACCCTCATGTCATTCCAAACCTGTATGGCTTTCTTTTTTTCTGTGGAACAAAAAAAGAAGTTATTTTGAAAGAATGTTGGTAAGCAAACAGTTTTTGAACGGCACGAGTCGGGTTAGTGATGACATTGAAAGTAGAAGAGTAATCAAATATCCATAATATTTGCATATTTATTTATGGGGAATGTATAATATTTCCTGTTTTGTGGGTTCTCTCAGCAGATCAGTCTAGCTCAAAGCCCGGGTACGGCTTTTCTGATGCGTACACCAGACCTCAGAGTTCTTGGACTGGTTTCACTGGTGGAAACACTGGTGGACGTGGTGGGGGTGGATTCTGGACTGGAATGGGCACAGGTGGAATTCTGGGATATCTGTTTGGCAATCAGAGGTAAGCAAGCAACATATTCTCACATAATTTACTTATAGCAAGCACTTTAAAGTATCAAGGCTAAATTTTTTATGAACTTTCTGAAAAGAAATGTGGAAACAAAAAAATGTAAAAGTAGTCAAAGATAAATATCCCTGAAATGTAAAATACTAGAAGGGTAGTCAGTAAAGGCAGTAATTTTTAGTTCAGTCTTCACCTGCCTTTCATGTTGATGTTAGACGCCAGCCACCCATGGGCTTCACAGGACCATCTTACACCAACCAGTATAATATTTCCTGTTTTGTGGGTTCTCTCAGCAGATCAGTCTAGCTCAAAGCCCGGGTACGGCTTTTCTGATGCGTACACCAGACCTCAGAGTTCTTGGACTGGTTTCACTGGTGGAAACACTGGTGGACGTGGTGGGGGTGGATTCTGGACTGGAATGGGCACAGGTGGAATTCTGGGATATCTGTTTGGCAATCAGAGGTAAGCAAGCAACATATTCTCACATAATTTACTTATAGCAAGCACTTTAAAGTATCAAGGCTACATTTTTTATGAACTTTCTGAAAAGAAATGTGGAAACAAAAAAATGTAAAAGTAGTCAAAGATAAATATCCCTGAAATGTAAAATACTAGAAGGGTAGTCAGTAAAGGCAGTAATTTTTAGTTCAGTCTTCACCTGACTTTCATGTTGATGTTAGACGCCAGCCACCCATGGGCTTCACAGGACCATCTTACACCAACCGACCTTCTCCAGCACCAAAAACAAGCTCAGGAACACGGACAGCATCAGGTAAACTACAGCAAGTGTAGTTAAAGATGTCAGATGTGTTCTTGTTTATTTCAAAGCACAATTCCCTCCTGTAATGTCACTGTGTACTGGGCTGCATAATGCCATGAGTAAGTCATTATAAGTCATTTAGATGTGTATTTTGGAGATGAGATCTATTTATGGTGTTTTGTGGTGCAGGTTTTGGAGGAACTAAAAGAAGATGATTAACCAACCTCAGTTCTCAGATTGGTACATGATCAACAGGCACATTACAAAGAATTACAATGTTTTCTTCATACTACTGTTCATTTATTGCCCAGACTTTGCTGAAATAGACGTAGCACATTATTACTCTAGACTGGTTTGTTGTTGTTATCTTAAAACAACCTGCCTTCTTTCATTCTAGGTTTAACTGTGAATTTAAAAAATAACATCCAAAAACAACTGATTCGACTGTTTTAGTGTTTAATGCTATTTTTTTCTCAAAAGAAACTGAATGTTTTAAATTCTAAAGGTCTTTAATTTTGATATAAATATATAAAATATATTTCTGTAAATATTTAAAGTCAACATTAAATCTAAATGGATCCTATTTGCATGCTTAATGCAAGTTCCTGGCCTTATTCTGCAATGATTGTTCAATAATATTCCAAAGAAAATATAATATTCCAAAAATAAATAAATAAATCTATTAAATAGGGCTGGACGATATGGCCAAAATTTATATCACAATATATTTCTTCATTTCGGTTGATACGATAAAATTCCGATATCGATATGAACAATTTAAAAAAAGCCTCAGGAAAAACTGCCAAGAGCACAACCGATGTCTGTACCTACAAACTTCTGAAAAATTAATTTGCCAAGTCTATGAAACCTCCTCCTATAAAACTACAGAATATTTTAGAACTAAAAATGGTACAAAAAAAAAGGAATGTTCACCTTTTATTTGTATTTAGGTTTCATACAAACATCTATGAAACCTCCTCCTATAAAACTACAGAATATTTTAGAACTAAAAATGGTACAAAAAAAAGGAATGTTCACCTTTTATTTGTATTTAGGTTTCATACAAACCAGAAATGTGAAATCACATCAAATAAACATAAGACTCTCAGACTCCCCTTATTATGTTTAACTTTAAACTATAGCATAGGCTGATTATTCTTATAGATTGAAACAAAAGTGCTTCATCCAGAATAATCAATATGAAAAGTGCTCAGAGTTGCTGGAGAAAACAGAAAAAAAGAGTGATCAACAACAAAAACATGTTGCTGGAGACGGGCTTATTGAAAATGCACATTCATTTTCTGCCAGTAGAAGGCGCATTTGGAACATCAGAAATACAGCGGTTTCCACATAAATGCTACTTTGTCAGATAAAATGAAAATGCCATCGAAGCTTTTCTGAAGACAGTCGATTCCCTTTAAAGATACATTTATATAAAACACCCCCCACTTTGGTTTTGAAACGTGCAGTGCTCATGTTTATTCAAAGAAGTCAAAAGCCTTTTGGAAAATCTATTTGCGGCGATCAGTGGTGATATTGTGGAGCTGCTACAAATAAATCAATATTTGGGAAACACTGGTGATGTGTATATTGAAATATCTGAAATGTTTAAAAATCATATCACCGACCATTATTGGAAAAAAAAAAAAATATATATATATATATATATATATA